GTTCACAGTCCAGTGCCCAGTCCACTGAGCCACACTAGCCACGCCTTCACTATTTAATATTTAGTGTAATTACTAATTTATTTACTTAGACTACATAACATTGAACAATATTGATATATATATAGCATGTAAAATTAACAGATAAATGTACATATATTGGGATGAACACTCAAAGCTTTTTTCTTCCATTCTAACTTTTTAAAATCATGAACTATTTTAGACATATCCAACGATATCAAGAACAACATATTAAGTTTTTATTTAACCATCACCCAACTTCAGAACTAAAGCCTCATCAGTGTAGTTAAAGCCCCCAGACACTTCCTCCCCCTCCTCTCACTCAGAAATAACCAGTACAATAATAAGCAATAAATTCAAATTTTTGTGCTTATTATTCCTTATGTCTTTACAGGTTTGTTACATATGTGTATTATTCCTAAGCAAGATCTATTTTGCATATTTTTTAACTTTACATAAATAGTGTCATTTAGCATGTATCTATGGGCAGTTGGCTTTTTCACTCAACATTGTTTTTTCAATCCATCTGCATTATACATGTACCTCTGGTTTAGTCATTTTAGCTATTGTTTGGTTTTTCATTTCAGGGGTATCTGTATTGTTACTAATTATTTGCTATTACAAAGAAAAAGTTTGTACATGTTTCCCCCCCATTAAAACTTTACCAATGATGTACAGAACCCCCCAGAATTGGCTTTCAAATCTTTTTTAACCCTTCACCCAAAGTAAGAAATATGTATCGCAGGCACCTAGCGCACCCATACTTACACAGGAAGCTAAAGCACACTGCACAAACCAAAGCTTACTCTGTGAGCTGTGCTCTGGGACTTTTTATTCTCTTTAATTTCATGTTTATGATACTGGTCTCCACCCACTAGGAGGAGTTCCTGACCCAGTCCTGGGTCACAACCCACAGTGTGAGGAGCACTTGCCTAGAGAGAGCAGCCAAGGTCACACGGGGAGCCAATGGCAGAGCCGGAACTAGAACCCAGACCTCCCGAGCCCGGGGCCTGCCCCGAGCTGGGCAGCTCCCACCTGCCCCTGGCGCTTTCTGGCTCCTCTCTGCGTCCTACCCCATCTCCCCCAGATGCTCTGGCCAAGACCAGCAACCAACACCCCCCGGCCCCCGAATCCCTTCCTGCAGGTCAGCCTCTGGCTTCATGGTTGGTTGATGGGCCCAATTTTTCCTCCCTGAGCTCCGGCCCCATTGACCTCCTCCTGAAAAATCCTGATCAGCCCAAACCTCCAATGCTAGCCCTTGGCAGACACTTATAACAAGGCGACTCCCCCCTCCGAGGCCATTTGCAGGCTGGAGCGTCACAGTACGGATGCCATTTAGACTTCATGTGGTCCTAATGAATTTCTGTTTCAGATTTATTTTTTCAAAACACCAGTGCTGAAGCGGGCGTGGACGGCAGCGAGGCACCGGCTCTGTGCTGCGCGTGTTCTCTTCTGATGTTTACAGCAGTCCTGCTGGGCAGGTATGGGCCCTAATTCCCAAGTGAGGGCCTGAGGAGTCCCTGATCTTAACGAACTTGTCTACAGCCCTATAGCTAAGTGGTGGAACTTGGATCTGAGCTTGGACTCATGGTTCTAGACTTTCTCACTATTGCATGAAGTTTCCTGTAAGCATTTATCACTCTAGCCATACGTGCCACTCGCTGGTCCCTTAGGAAATGGACAGCATATCGCTTTCATATAATCAGGACTAGCTACATACCGTATTTTGCCGTATATAATGCGCAACTTTTTTTGCCCAAGTTTTTGAGGGAAAAATAAGGAAGCGCATTATACACAGGTAGTATTAGTTACCCATGTATATAAATATAAATGTATCTATATCAATGTTTTTAATTATTTTAGTTATGCGTATGCATTAAAAGTATAACTCTAGCCCTGGCTGGTGTGGCTCAGTGGATTGAGTGCCAGCTGGTGAACCAAAGAGTCGCTGATTCGATTCCCAGTTGGGGCACATGGCTGGGTTGAGGGCCAGGTCACCAGCAGGGGGAGCGTGAGAGGCAACCACACACTGGCGTTTCTCTTCCTCTTTTTCTCCCTCCCTTCCCATCTCTAAAAATAAATATTTTTAAAATGTTTAAAAAAGTATAACTCTAGAAAGCAATGATGACATCCATATGTTCAAAACACATGCTAAAATTCCTTTATAATACAAAAAACAAATATATAAATAAATTGAATGAAAAATTAAAACGAAAATTTTTTTCCTGAAAGTTTGGGCCAAAAACGTGGGTGTGCATTACACACAGTAAATATAATGGTAGTTTGTGGGTCCCCTTCAAAAATTATTAACAATTTCAGGAGAGTGAGAGTGAGCATTAAACTAAGTACAGGGCCGCGGTGGCTGTGAAGCTCACATGCCTGAAACTGCCCCGCAGGGAATCCCTTCAGCCGACAACAGCCGGCACCGCCCTGCTGCACTGGCTCACTCCTTCCTTTCCTAGGGCATTCAGCTCACATGTCACCTCCTCCAAGAAGCCTCCCTTAACTGCAACCTCTCCCAAGCCATACTGAGCCTCTTCCATTTTCTCAAGGTGTCCTGTCGCAGCACAGACCAGCGGTAGTGTTCCTGATTCCTGACACACGCGCCAGGCTGGGAGCGCCTTGAAGGCAAAGGCTGTGCTTTTTGGCTGTACATTCCGGGACTTAACCCTGGGCCAGACACCTTGCGGGAGCTCCAAAAGTTTTGTGGAATGAAGGGAACCCAGAATCACTGAGGACGAGGAGGAGGAGGAGGAGCAAACCTCAGTGTGAACAGACAGGCTACTGGGGGGACAAAGTCAGGAATGGGGAGGCACCGAAAAGGAGGATTAAGAGCGGAGCCATGGGGGCATAGAAGGGGGCAGAGGTTTCTGGGGGAGGGAGCGAGGACCCTAATGCACTAAGGGAATGAGAAGCTCCATGAACAAATCTCTGACTAATCCTGGAAGGCTTCCTGGGGTGGGGGGGGCTACATGCCTCCAACAACTGATTTGGGGTCAGGAATCCATGATGCAACCTGTACACGTGCTCTTCCTGGGAAGTCCAAGGCCCAGGTTGTGACAGGTCCAGGAAGTACCTCTTCTTCAAGCCCCTCCCCACCCCCCAGCTCCAGGCTTAGAAAGGAAGAAAGGACCAGGCTTGTGTCTTACGGTAGATTGATGGTATCCTCCTCCATGAAGTTAATCAAACTGCCCGTTGAGGAAAGTGGGAATCCTTTGGTAGCAACCGTCCTGTTCATAGACTTGGGGTTTGGAAAGGGCTCCGACATTTGATTCAAAACTTTGCGGGTTTCCTTTTTCATCATGGCCTCCTCCCCATCTCCCACTTTACAGAACACCTCTGATGCCATCTAGTTTGTGTGTGACCACAGCTGTCACCATGCAGAACAGCCAAGCTGACAGGAAGTAGAAACTGGAGGCAGCAGACCCACCCTTAGTTTAGTTGGGATGGGGGTGCAATGAGCTGACTTCATAATCATCGCAGAGTGTAACAATTAGGGGCTGCTGTTGCCCAGGGCCGGGACCGGGGGTCTGGAGCGGGGTAGAGCCAAGGAGTAGCCTCCAGTGCCCTTCCAGCTCCAGGGCTCTGTGGTTCGGCGGCGCTGCCCTTCTCTGAAGATCAAAATGCTTCCCACCTGTGGCTGCCCTGGGACGGAGGAGAAGGATGGCGGGACAAAGGCGCCTGGGCGTGGAGGGAGGCGGCACTGGAACGGGTCTCTGGGAGTGGGAGGCTGAAGGATGCTGAGGCACCAGGTCCAGGAACCGCATGCGGAAGACCCCCATTCTGTCCAGTTTGTAGGCCTGGGAAAGCAGACGCTACATGGGAGTCACGGCGCACGGAGACTCAGGGTTTACTGCTAGAATTCTAAATGTGCCACGCTCTCGCCCCGAGTGTCCCCATGTGTTGAGTGACAAAGGAGGGTGCTGCAGAGGGATACAGAGATGGACCAGACATTATTTCTGTTCTCAAGGAAACCGCTCTACTGCAGGAAAACATACACACACTTCTGGGATGGGGAGAGAGGCTGTTAAAGCAGTGCTGGCTTTGCACCTAGACGTGCATTTGTCTGATGTAAGGCCAGTTCTGCCCTTACAGACTGTCATCTTTGGCACATGACTTCACCTCCCCAGGGCCTCGGCTTCCTCCTGTGTGAAACAGATAAAAATAGCACCTACCTCATTGGATGAGGAGATAACCCTGTAAGGTTGTTATGTTTCTTCCAGAGGATGAGGCAAAGGAAAGGACATTTGAAAATACCAAATCCTATATTTTGTGTCCCATATGCTCAGCGTTTTTGTTTGTTTAAATGTTACTGGCCCTGGCTGGGTAGGTCAGTTGGTTAGAGCACCTTCTCTATAAGCCAGCGGGTTCATCCCTGGTCAGCGCACATGTAAGAATCAACCAGTGAATGCACAAGTAAGTGGAACAACAAAACTGATGTCTTTCTCCACCTTCCCCCCTCTCTCTAAAATCAATAAATAAAAAAAGTTATTCATAAAAAATGGAAAATACAGAGAAGCAGGTGCCCTCTGCGCGTTCTGCTGTTCTTAGCAATCATCATGTGATCTGTAATACCCTGATTACAGATCGGGGGCTGACTCGATTCCTCTTTACTGCCTCGCCGTCACCAACAGGTAGGTCCCCTGGGCATGGGGATGGTCAGTCTTCTGGAACTTTCTGGCCCAGCGATTAGAACAGAGGCTGACAAGGTAGGCCTGGGGACGTGTTTGACGAAATAGGTAGAGGCGAAAGCGGACTCGGAGCGCACATGGCGCCTGCAGGCGACGTAGATCCGGGTGGAAATCCGCCGTTGGGGCGCAGGACACTGGGCGGGTCCGCGGAGCTACGGGACGGCGCAGGTCCGCGCAGCGGCCGTGGCGCCGGTGGCTCGTTTCCGCTCCAGCCAACTGGTCCCAGGAGGCCGCGCAGTCGTCCCTCGCGGCCAGCAGATGGCGCTGCCGGTCCGGCTCTGGAGCCTGGAAGCCGGAAGCGGCGGCCGGGCCGGGACTGGCAGGGCCTGGGCGCCGGAGACCCGGCGTGGGGCCGCACCCTGCGCGCCGCTTGCCCCCGCCCCAGAAAGGGGCGCCCAGGGGCGTCTGGAGAGGGCGCTGCGGAAGTCCGCGGGACTGGTAGCCCGGGTCTCCAGGGAACATGGGCGTGCTCAGGGCCGGCCTTTGCCCAGGCCTTACCCAGGACATGGTCCAGATTCTGAGGAGCCACGGAATCAAAACAGGTGACCGCGTGCGCGTGCCACGCCGCTGAGCACAACGCGCAGGCCGGCCTCACGGCCCAGGCACGCCCGGGAGGGGGTCACCCCTCCCTCCTCTGCTCTCCACCCTTCTGGAGAGGCTCGGGATGGTGGGAGTGGTCGAGCCAAGCCCCAAGCAGAGCTGAACCCCTGCTGTGTGCCTGGCACCACGCCAGGTCCTACGGCTCAGTTAGTTCTCGCAGGCTTCCTAGGATGGCCTGCCCCAAAAGTAGACTTGTCACCCCATTTTACAGACGGGAAAAGCTACGCATGGGAAGCCCCGCCCTTCTTGCCAATCAACCACACGTTTTGTTTTCAGTGGTGGATCTGGTTTCAGCAAACCTGGAAGAGGTAGCCCAGAAATGTGGCTTGTCTTACAAGGTGAGCGAATGATCTCGTTCCAAACCTGGGCGTCTCTAAATGTCTATCCCTGGGCCAAAAGTCCCCAAAGATTGATGGGGGAGGGCATATGGGACTCTGGGATGCCCCCTCCCTTGCCTGGTCATTGCTCATTTCTGTATACTGTGGTCTGCTGTGGGTTGAAATGCCCCGGCTCCATCCTGAGCTGCCCCCACCCCTCCCGCAGGCCCTGGTTGCCCTGAGGCGGGTGCTGCTGGCTCAGTTCTCCGCTTTCCCCTTCAATGGCGCTGATCTCTACGAGGAACTGAAGACCTCCACTGCCATCTTGTCTACAGGCATTGGAAGGTTTGTATGTGTACTTTGGGAAGAAAGTGAGAGGCAGGAGGAGGAGGACGTGGATGCTTCCGGCTTGGCTTTTGATGCTTGAGTCTAGAGAGAGCAGGGTTTTTCAAGCAGGGGTGAGGGCAGCGTGGGCCGATGGTCAGGACTTCTGAGTTCTCTTACCTTATAACAGGGTGTCTCGGCCTCGCACTCCTAAGGTTTTGGGATGCATGACTATTTGATGGTCGGGAGTTGGGGGAGGCTGTCCTGTGGGCTGTAGGATGTTTGGCTGCATTCCCTCGCCTCTATCCACTAGACGCCAGGAGCACCTCCTTCCTCCCCAAGTTGTCACAATCAAAAATGTCTCCAGACATTGCCAAATGACCCCTGATTAATAACCACTGTTCTGTGACACAAGAGGCCAGTATTTTTTTATTATTCAGCAGATCAGAGCAACTCTTCTCCGGCTCTGCGTCCTATTTCACTTAAGGACAAGACAAGAGAGAACATGCGGGACTAACATTTATTGAGTGCCTAGTATGTGCCAGCCATTGACTATAGGTTATGTAATCTCTTCAGCGTGTGAGTTAGTGATCGTTAACCCCTTGAGTTTACCCCAGAAGCAAGGGGTGGACGTAGGGCTCCAGCCCTGGGGTACTTGATTCATGCCCCATACTCTGCAGCAGAAAGGGACCAGAGAGCACTCATAAAGGAGTGGTTCTATTCTGCCGTGCTGTTTGGAGAGGGAGCGAGTGAGAAGACAACAGCCACTTCCCGCCCCCTTTCCCGGCCTGTTTGTGAGGAATTTGATGAAGAACTCCGCCGCCACAAAGGTCTTTGGATTGGTTTGGCCCTTGCTGCTTTCATAACGTATTCTCTTGGCAAGGTTCACACAGCATGGCGCTTGCTCCTCCTGGTTGGGGGTCTGAGTCTGTCATCCATCAAGCGCTGGCTCAGTGCCTACTGGTTGCCAGCTACATGGCGTATAAGTGAGGCAAGGCGCCTGCACTTAAAGGAATACCGGGTAGAGAGAAGAGCGGGTGAACCCGACGGAGAGATGCGTCAACGTGTGGAGACCGCCTAGGAAGGAGTAGTTAACAGGAAGCCAACTTGGCCTTGGGGCTTGGGGAGCTTATAAAACCAACATACTCAGGAAGCATTCAGGCAGCAGTCAACTGCACTGGTAGGACTGCGGCTGCAGTGGGTCACCGCAGGGGAGGTCAGGAAAGTTCTGCGAGGGAGGCAGGCCCTGGGCCCTGGGCCCTGAGGAATGGGCGGGCGGGCTTTCTCTGGGTGCTTACCAAGAACTGGGCACGTGCTTGCACTTCCTGGTGTACCTTTTCATTTGTTCTTCACAACCACCAAAGAGCGCATTACAATTAAAACCACCAATCTGCGAGTGAGGAAACTGGGACTCAGGTGAAGCGCCTTGCCCAAGGTCATGCAGCTAGTAAGTGGCAGAGCAGGCACTTGAAGTCACAGCTGTCCCACACAGAGGTCTAAAAACCTAACTGCCGCTTGTCTGCGCTGATTCCTCCCTGGAGGCAGGAGGCCGTACTGTGAAAGCGGAGCTCCAGGCAGTGCGGCGGAGCTGTGCAAGGCTCGGGAGGCCGGCAGGAGGGAGGCGAAGGAGCGGCGGCGTGGTGGTGGTGCGTGTGTGGGTCGGATCTAAGGCAGGTGACAGTGGGGGATGTGGTGAAGAGGAGATGTGACCAGTCTTACTACCAGGTGGGATATAGGTGTGAAGAATCAAAGACGACCCCCAAGGTTTCTGCCTTCCTCGTGGTGGTCTGTGGACAGTTAAGGGATGTGACTTTAAAAATTTTTTAATTGATTTTTAGAGAGAGAGAGAGAGAGAGATTGATTTGTTGTTCCATGTGTTTATGCATTCATCGGTTGTTTCTTGTCTGTGCCCTGACCGGGGATCAAACCTGCAACCTTGGCGTATTGGGAGGATGCTCTAACCAGCTGAGCTACCCAGCCAGGGCTGGATGTGGCTTTTAAAAGGGAAGAGGGAGGGAAGTTCTTTAGTCAAAAATTTGGGAAATGCTCCATTCACCCAAATTAAAGAGGTTTCTCTGTCGTAGGCCTTCTCAGGGCCTTTCGTGCTGATGGGCAGCGTGCACCTTTGTAAGGGACGGCAAAGCATGGAGCGGGCCTTGGAAGAAGCTCTACTGTTGTGGGGAGACGGGTGGTTACTTGAAGGCCAGAGCAAGTCCTGCTTGTCTCTGTATCTCCTTCGTCTTAGAAGAAGACCTTCCAGAATTGGGGGGTGGGGGGGGGGCGGCGGGAATTGGAGCCGTGTTTGAATGAGTGGCTGAAAGAATGACTGAAAGCCAAATCAGAGGGGAAGATGGAGGATAAATCCCAGAAATCATTTGTATTTAAAACAAGTGGCAACACCCAGGTGTTCTCCTCCACGGGGCAGGCGGGGGCCTCCCTCCATGTGGACTTGCCCCTCAGAGGTGTTTGGCAGGCAAGCCCTCCAGGTGGTGGGAGACACGGAACAAAACGTAGGTGAGAAGGCGCTGGGCGGCAGATTTGGGGATTTCTTACGCAGATTGGTCCTCGCTGCTGGGAACATGCTTGATTCGTGCCTGGAGAGCCACGGCCAGCGGCTTAGAATCTGCACATTCGAATCACCTGGGAAGCGTAAGCAGTATATATGCTTGGGTCCCACCTGCCTGAACTGCTCTAAGCCAGTGGTTCCCAAACTTGTCTGCACATTAGAATCACCTGGGAATTTTTTAATGGGTAAATTTTTATTACAGATCTGATTGTTAGCAGAGCATTATTAAAAAATGTTTGAATAACATTTAGTGTTTTCCTGATTATAAAATACCTAGAGTAGACGGTTTGCAACACACAGAAGCACAGAAAAAAAACCCTCAGTCAATAATTTTAGCCGTTTTATGTTCATACTGATATTTTATAAGATTCATGTTAGATAGTATATACATTATTATCCCTTTTTTGCTTAACATTCTCTACAGTGTCTTAACATTTCCCCATGTCTTTAAAAAGTCTTCAAATCATTTTAATGGTCATATAATATTATGTAGTATGCAGAAACCACAATTTACCCATAATTATGCAACCAGTCTCCAATGTGGAAATTTCCAACTTTTCTTCTCTAATTCATTCTTTCAGGAATATATATTAAGTGCTTCCTGGAAACATACCAAAGCCCAGGCCCCCACAGACGACAGAATCACTCTCTCTAGGGGGCGAGACCCAGGCATCAGTATTATTTGAAGCTCCCAGGTGACTCCAGAGTCCAGGCGAGGCTGATACCTGCCTCTTTTTTTAAGAATAGGCAGGCAGGGTGGAGAGACATTGGCCTAGAGGTTTTCCGACTGTGCGTGCATCCACAGGACGCGGAAGCTTGGTTGGAACACAGATGCTGTTCCCGCCCCCAGGCGGGGCATGAGAGTTTGCATTTCTTACAGGTCCCAGGTGCTGCTGCTGGTCTTGGGGCCTCACCCAGAAAAGCACTGCTGTACTGGAGTCTCTGATCTCAGTTGGGGGAAGGGGATCCGGGAGTTGTAGGGGCTGGGTGTCTTTTCAAATGGGTACTTGTTACACAGAGGCAGGGTGAATGCAGTCCCGGGAAGGCACCGGGCTGCAGTGGAAACCCAAGCGTTTGACTGGGCGGGGCCTGTGGTTATGATTGAAATAGATTGGGTGCTGACTGAGGTGCTACTTAGCATATACAGAGGGGTTATGGGAGGCCTTCAAGGGCTATTTCAGAGGCTGGCACCTTGAAGGTGGGTGCAGGGTTAGGTAAAGGGTGCTTAGGGTCAGGACATGGCCGTACCCTGTCGGCTCTGGTGGAGGGGGAGGATCTTCAGCCCGTGGGCTGGGCAGGGCTTGGAGGGTGGTTAGTTATCTCTTTCTTGGTGGCTCAAGGACAGAACTTGGATCAGGAATTGGCTGTGTCCTGAGTTTTACCCCACGGCTTCCACAGCCGGAGTGCCGACAATGATGCGGACTAAATAGCGCTGTTCTTTCCCTCTTTTCTCTTGGATCGTTTATTGTGTGTCTCCCGAGTTTAAGGCCCTATGCTAGGGCTGGGGGTGTAATAGTGAGCAAGGCCCAGCTCTTGCCCCGGGGGCTCTGGGCCGAATGGGGAGACAGACAAAAACCAGCAAATAGAAAATAATTCCAAATTCCTAGAACTAATAAGTGAATTCAGCAAAGGTTGCAGAACATGACAGTAACATGTAAAAATCAATTGCATTTTTATATACTCAAGAAGAACATGTGGAAGTGAAAATTAAAAACACAATACCATTTAAAATTGCTTCCAAGCAAATGCAATACTTAGGTCTCAATCTAACAAAACAGGTATAGGCTCTGTATGCTGAAAATTAAAAATTGCTGATGAAAGAGATCAAAGAGAACCCAAGGAAATGGAGGGCCATTTGTGGATTGGGAGACTGGACATAGCAAAGATACCAGTTCTCCCGAAAATGATCAATAGATTTAATGCAGTTCCTACCAAAAACCCCAGCAAGGTTATTTGTAGAAATAGGCTTATTCTAATAATTTTATGGAAGAGCCAATGGCCTAGAACAGCTAAAACAATTTTGAAAAAGAAGAATAAAGAAAGGAATCATTCTACCAAACAGGCTTACTATATAGCTGCAGTAATCAAGACAAATGTGGTGTGGCAAACATACAGATCGATGGAGTGGAACAGAGAACCCAGAAATGGACCCCAAATATGTCCAACTGATTTTTGACAAAGATGCAAAAACGCTTCAGTGGAGGAGAAATACAGCCTTTTGAACAAAGGGTGCTGCAGCTATTGAATATCACAGATAATAAATAAACAAAGTTGAAAATGGATCATGTTTTACTTATCATCAGTTGTACTTAAATGTAAAACTTAAAACTATCAATCTTTTAGAATAAAACAGGAGAAAATCTTTGGGAACCAGGACTGGACAAAGTTCTTAGACTTGACATGAAAGTATGAACAATAAAATTAATAAATGTTTACATAAAAAAGTCAAAATTAAAAACTTAATAGAAACTAAAAACTTTTACTCTGCAAAAGAGAATGAAAAAACCAGCTATAAAGTGAGGAAAATATTTTAAAGTCACACACTCAACAAAGGACTTGCATCTAGAATATATAAAGAATTCTTAAACCTCAACAGTAGCACAGTCTAATTAGAAAATAGGCAAAAGAGATGAACAGACATTTCAACAAAGAGGACATACAAGTGGCAAAGAATCACATAAAAGGATGTTCAACATCATGACTCATGAGGGAAATGCAAATTAAAACCACAATGAGATATTGCTGCACATCTACCAGAATGGCTAAAATAAAAAATGATGATAACACCAAATGTTGGTAAGGATGTAGAGAAACTGGATTACTCATACATGGCTAGTGAGAAAGTAAAATGGCATAGCCACTCTGGAAAACAGTGGTTTCATATAAATTAATATGCACTTACTGTACATCCTGGCTATGTGTTCTTGGGCATTTATTCCAGAGAAATAAAAACTTAGGCTCACACAAAACCTGTACACAAATGTTTATAGCAACTTCATTTATAATTGTCCCGAACTGGAAACAGCTTACATGTCTTCCAGTGGGTGAACGGTTCCGTGGACTTGGGACATCCGTGCCGTGGAATACTACTCGGTGATAGCACAGCGCAAACTGTCAATACCATTCCTTGGATCTCAGCCGAATGGTGCCGGGTGAAAAAAGCCAGTCACAGAGGTTACATTCTTTATGATGCTATGTAGATGGCGTTCTTGAATAACAGAATAGAGATGGAGAACAGACTGGGGGGTTGCTAGGGGTTAGGGACTAGGCGTAGGGGGAGGGATGCGGTTATAAAAGGGGGCCACAAGGGAACCTTGTGGGGATGGAAATGTTCTGTACCTTGATTGTGGTGGTTCCATAATCGTACGTGTAGACATGTGATAAAATGGCATAGAATATGCACACAGACACACATGAAAGTAACACTGGTGAAACCTGAATAAGCTCTGTGGACCACATCAATGTCAATTTATGATATTGTACCAAAGTACAATTCGTCTTGAAATGCAAGATGCTACCATTAGGGAAAACTAGTTGAGGGGTACCGTGGGACCTCCCTCTACATTTTTTTTCACAACTTCCTGTGAAGCTATAATTATTTCAAAGTTAAAAAAATGATAAATGATGGGAAATACTGTCACGGAAACCCACAAGGGGCTGAGATGGAGAATGAGAGGAAGGCCTTCCGATGGGGCGGCGGAGACCTCCGTGGAGGGATGATTTTTAAGCCACTGAGACTGTCTCAGGACAGAACCAGTACTTGGAAGGAATGTCTTGTTTTTCTTGTTGGCTGCTACTCCCCACCTACTTCGCCAGTCCCTGGGTTAATCCTCGTCCTTCCTTTTCTGCCATCAGCTTAGACAAACTGCTTGATGCTGGTCTCTATACCGGAGAAGTGACTGAAATCGGAGGAGTCCCAGGGAGTGGCAAAACCCAGGTAACGCGAGCAGCCAGCGAGCAGGAGGGTTGGGGGAGGGAGTGTGCGGTGCTGGATCCCCGCGGAAGCTTCTGCCGCTACGGTAGCATGTGATTCAGAGCTTGGAAGAGAGCAGATGAGCGGTGAGAAGTGGCCCTTGAACTTGGCCCATTCGTGTCACTGGGATCTGAACTAGATTTGGTGGGGAGCTCACGTTCTGGGCAGCCTTTGAGGGGTCAAGTTCACCCAGTGCCTTTTTCCCAACTCAGCTATGTCTCTGTGTGGCTGCGAATGTGGCCTATGGCCTGCAGCAGAACGTCCTATACATTGATTCCAACGGGGGACTGACAGCTTCCCGCATCCTCCAGCTACTTCAGGCGAGAACCCCAGATGAGGAAGAGCAGGTAAGGGAAAGGCGTGTTGGAGCCCTTCGAAGCTCGGACACAAGACCCCCATTATCCCTTATGTTGTAAGAATTTGGGCCATTTAGATGAATAGTACTTGCTGGGTTTGAAACATGCTGTTCTATCAATATTTTCTGTTTTCTTCAAGCCTCCCTGGCATGACATCATCCCAGCTCCTTGCATCCCTCAGTTCAGGGCTGGCAAACACCCAGCATCGGTGATTCTGTCCCATTTCTCGCCCATGGCAGACACCCCACTGATCGGTCCATTCTTGCACTGTGCTCTGACTCGGCTTTGCAGCTCAGCACCCAGGCAGCTGCCACTTGACAACTGGCCCATTAGGCAAAGCCCACTTGTCATCCTGGACCTGAGTCCTTCTATCCAGATGCCTCTTCCGGCTCAGGCTCCAAGTCCCCCTTCATCTTGCTCAGCCCTGCCTGCTCTCCTCCAAAGCCCCCTCTTCTCTAAAGCCCCCTCTTTCCCACCCCTGCAGGCAGGCGCTCTCCAGAGGATCCAGGTGCTGCGCGCCTTTGACATCTTCCAGATGCTGGATGTGCTGCAGGACCTCCGAGGGGCTGCGGCCCAGCCGGTGAGCCTGCCGTTCGACCCCTCCCCGCTTCACTCAGCGGGCGGTAGGTGGGCAGTGTCCTAGGGCGGACTCTTTGGAAATGCAGATGTGCAATCTGGTGACTCCAGCTGTGCTTGCCGCTCCGGCTCGGGATTCTGAGCGCTCCCGTCATTCCTGACTGCCTCCTTGTTTACAGACTCGTCTTGCTCCCTGAACGGTAACCCCTCGAGTGCAAGGATCAGTCAGAGTCACGTCCGTGTCCCCCCCACTGGATCAGGTTTCAGCTGCAAATCATAGAGTATGGCTGACAGACACTTAAACTTCGAGGACGTTTAATTATCTCAATGAGTCTGGAAGTTGGCAGGGCCACGTTATTAGGGCTCTAGGTTGGCGTGTCTGATTCTCTTGCTCTTTCCTCTTGTGATTGCAGAGTGGCTGCTATTGCTCTAAGCTCATGTTTTTATACAGCCACATTCAGGGCAGTGAAAATAAATATTGGGTTGGCCAAAAAGTCCATTTAGTTTTTTTCTGTAAGATAAAAGACATGTTTTTCATTTTTACCAATAACTTGATTGATTTGGGTATTTTGAGTATGTCGGCTGTCTCCTGCTATTGGCTTCTGGGGGGTAGAGGTGCTCCTAAATATCTTCCAGTGCATAAGACAGCCCCACGGCAAAGAATTATTTGGCCAAAATGTCAACAGTACCAAGAAATTTCACAAACTATTTTTGACCCCTTCCATCAGTGTCAGCACCTTCTCTGTTCACTGTACAAATCTTTTTTTGCATTTCAGTTGTATTTTCACCTTTCTTAAGGTAATAAATCATAATACACTGAAAATGTTGTGTATCTTCTCCCATCTTCAGTATTAAAATGGCTGCACAGAAATTCACCAATCTTAGTAGGTCTTTTTTACATGCATGTTAATACGACAGCTGTCACAATACAATCTATGAAAATTGTTTCAAAGGAAGTTAAAGACAACTAAGCACTGCTAGAGCCATCCTATGGAAAAAACTGAACGAACTTCTTGGCCCACCCAATACCTCTAATCCCCTCGCTTTTTCAGCCCATCCCCTCAACCCCCTCCCATCTAGTAACTGTCAAAATGTTCTCTGTATCTATGAGTCCGTTTTTGGTCTGTGTGTTTGTTCATTTTATGTTTCAGATTCCACATATAAGTGAAATCGTATGACATTCCTCTTTCTCTGTCTGACTTATTTCACTCAGCACAGAACCTTCTAGGCCCAGCCATGTTGTTGCATATGGCAAGGTTTCATTCTTTTCTTTTTTTTAATGGCTGAGTCATATTTTATTGTATATATGCACAACTTCTTTATCCATTCATCTGTTGATGGACATTTAGATTGCTTCCGTATCTTAGCTATCATAAATAATGCTACAATGAATATATTATGCATATGTCTATTCAATTTAGTGTTTTGGGTTTCTTCAGATAAATATCTAGAAGTGGAATTGCTGGGTCCTTTGTTGTCTTTTGTTACAGCCTTTGTTTTAAAGTCTATTTTGTCTGATATAAGTATTGCTCCCCCAGCTTTTTTATTTTGTTTTGTTTTCATTTTCATGAAATCATTTTTTCCATCTCTTTACTTTGAGTCTGTGTGTCTTTTGATATAAAGTGAGTCTCTTGTAGATAGCCTATGTAAAGGTCTTGTTTTGTTACCCATTTAGCCACCATATGTCTTTTGATTGGAGCACTTAACCCATTTGCATTTAAAGTAATTGTTGATAGATATTGCTATTTTATTATTCATATTTTGAAAAGATTGTATTTATTTATATTTTAGAGAAGGGGGAAGAGAGGTAGGAAGAGAGGGAGAGAATCATCAATGTGCGAGATAAACATTGATTGGTTGCCTTTGCCCCCAACTGAGGACCTGGCCTGCAACCCAGACATGCGCCCTGACTGGGAATTGAACTGGCAACCTTTTGGTTTGTGAGATGATGCCCAAACCACTGAGCCACACCAGTCAGGGCTTATTATTCATCTTTTTTTTTTGTCTTTTTTCCCTTTTTTAAAATCCTCACGAACGATATGTTTATTGATTTAAGAGAGAGAGGTTGGGGGAGAGTGGTAGAGAAACATTGATTGATTGCCTCCTGTACCCACCCTGACCTGGGATTGAACCTGCAACCTTTTGGTGTATGGGATGACATTCCAACCAACTGGGCCACCTGGCCAGGGCCTTTTTTTTTTTTTTGGTAAATATCTGTTTGTGTTTTTTTTTTAATTTATTTATTTAATTTTAGAGAGAGAGGGGAAGGGAGGGAGAAAAACATCAATGTGTGGTTGCTTCTCGCACACCCTCTACTGGGGACATGGCCCACAATCCAGGCATGTGCCCTGACTGGGAATCTAACTGGCGACCCTTTGGTTCGCAGGCCAGCACTCAGTCCACTGAGCCACACCAGCTGGGGCTGGCCAGGGCAGGTCAGGGCTTTTTAATCTTTTGTTATTCTTAAAGAAGACCCTTTTACATTTCTTACAATACTGGTTTGGTAGTGATGGACCCCGTTAGCTTTTTCTTGCCTGGGAAGCTCTTTATTTGTCCTTTGATTGCAAATGATAGCTTTGCTGGGTATAGTAATCTTGATGCAGGTCCTTGCTTTTCGTTTTGAATATTTTGTGCCAATCCCACTGGCCTGCAAAGTTTCTGTTGAGAAATCAGCTGGCAATCTTATGGGAGCTCCCTTGTAGGTAACTAACTGCTTTTCTCTTGCTGCTTTTAAGATTCTCTATTTGTCTTTAATCTTTGGCATTTTAATTATGATGCGTCTTGGTGCGATCCTTTTTGGGTTCATCTTATGTATGTGTATTTCCTTTACCAGGTTAGGGAAGTTTTCTGTCATTATTTTTTCAAACAGGTTTCCAGTTCAATTCCTTGCCCTCTCTCCTCTCCTTTTGGTACCCATATGATGCAAATGTTGTACACTTGAAATTATCCCAGAAGCTCCTTAAACTATCCTCATTAAAATTTTTTTTTTTCTTTTTGCTGTTCTGATTGGGTGTTTTTTGCTTTTTATATCTTCCAAATTGGTGATTCGATTCTCTGCTTCTTCCATTCTATTGTTGATTCCTTGTAATGTAGTCTTCATTTCAGTTATTGTATTCTTCATTTTGACTGGTTCTTTTTTATGTTTTCTATCTTCAGTTTTATGTTTCCTATCTTTTTGTTGAAGTTCTCACTAAGATTATCTGCTCTTCCCCTAAGTTCCTTGAGCGTCCTTCTAACTAGTGCTTTGAACTCTGAATCTGGTATATTGTTTGTCTCCTTTTTATTTAGTTCTTTTTCTGGAGTTTTGTTCTGTCCTTTAACCTGGGACATGTTTCTTTGGCTCCTCATTTTGGCTGCAGGTGTTTGTTTCTATATATTAGGTAGAGCCGCTGTGTCTCCCAGTCTTGGTAGAATGGCCTTATGTAGTAGGTGTCCTGTAGTGCCCAGTGGCACAGCCTTCCGGGTCACTTGAGCTTGGTGCTTCAGGTGTACTGCCCCCAGTGCATTTCTATACCGCCTCCCCCATGGACTGTGTGCACCCTCCCGTTGTAGTTGAGCCTTGACTGCTGTTGGCACGTGAATGGGAGGGATTTACCCAGGCCAGTCAACTGCGAGGACTGGTCACAGCTACAGCAGAGTTGCTGCCGTGCAGGGGCTGACCCCACCCCACAGAACAGGACTCACTTCAGCCGGGCCCTGGTGCCTGACAAGTTCATCCCTGGAGTGTGTCGCCGGTGGAAGTGATTGGGAGGTGCTCCCGTGTGGTCTGAAGCTGTCCACTGCGTGGCGGATGCAGTCCTGCACGACATAACATAATCACGGGAGTGATGTCTCATTACCTTTGCCATATAACGCAGCCTAATTAAGAGAGTGACACTCCACTCCAACACCTTTGACATTTTATTAGTCAGAGAAAGTCAGGACTCATCCATGGTCAAGGGGCGGGAGCTGATTATACAAGGGCTTGAGAACCTAAAGGTAGGGATCACGGGGGGCACTGCAGGGTCCCTCTGCGCAGATGACCTGATGGCTCCGTAGCTTCAAGCAGGAAAAATAATGCTGTCCCATTCTGGCCAGAGATTTCAACCTGCTCCCCCAGAGAGCAAGGAGGGCTAAGTCAACTTCAGTTTTAGCTTCTCTCTTTTTGGCCATCTTCTCATAGATAAGCTGCTGACTGGCCAGGAGTCAGTAAGTGGGAGACGAAGGAGGCATTCCAAAGAAAGAGCAGACAGTGCTCAATATCCAAAATTTGGCCGACGTGAAGTGAAATAGAGGTGGAGGAAACAGAATCAGCAGATGGCTTGGATATAGGAAGCAAGGGAGCCCTGGCTGACATGGCTCGGGGGATTGAGCACTGGCTTGCGAACTTAAAGGTCAGCAGTTCGATTCTCAGTCAGGGCACATGCCCGGGTTGTAGGCCAGGTCCCCACCTGGGGGTGTGTGAGCGATAACTGATTTCTCCCGCACTAATGTTTCTCTCCTTCTCTTTCTCCCTCCCTTCCTGTGTCTCTAAAAGTAAATAAATAAAATCTTTAAGAAAGAAGAAGAAGTAGTAAGGGAGAAGGGAAGCATCAAAGACAATTTAGGTCCAAGAAACCAGGAGGATGTTAATACTTGTGTAGACAGAAAAAATTATGGCTTTAACAGATGGCTGTCTAGATAAGTCTATATTTGGAACCATTTCAGATATGGAAAATGAGGCCCTAGAGGCAGACCTAGAAGGAGACAGTGAAGTAAAGAGAAAACTAAACTCAAAGGAAGCTAGGAATTTGGGGGTAAACAGGAGAGGGAAAAGAGGGGCCTGCCAAGGTGGTGGGGGCTGGCCATATGGCGAAAGATGGCCACTAAGGAAATTCCTCACTGGGGGCCGCCACACTCTGGACAGGGAATTCCCAGATGTAATTAGTTCAGGGCATCTGCGATGTTCTGTGAATTAAACCCTCTCTGTCCACCCGGGTATTCAGTGAAATCTGTTAGACATAGAGACGGGGTTGGAGAAGAGACACTGCTGAAGGTGGGTGATGCCCGCGCGGCTCTCTGTGGTCAGGGAAGGTTCTTACCAGTTCCTGGGAGGAGCAAGCTTGTCCCGTGGTGGGAGCCCACCAGACGCCAAGCGGTTCATCACCGCGCCTGCTTCCCCCCAACCCCTTAGGTGAGCGATTCTTCAGGGACTGTGAAGGTGGTCATTGTGGACTCTGTCACCGCTGTGGTCTCCCCACTTCTGGGAGGCCAACAGAGGGAAGGTGAGCGATATGTGTGGCAGAGCCCAGGGTCGGGGCTGTGATCTTGTGTCCCAGCCCTGGAGTCCAGGCTCCAGCCCGCCCAGCCTCCTGCGCTTCTCCTCCTCCAGGCTTGGCCTTGATGATGCAGCTGGCCCAAGAGCTGAAGACCCTGGCCCGGGACCTCGGCGTGGCAGTGGTGGTGAGGAAGCGGGCCTGGCCAGCCGCGCTTGTCTAACCTCTGATCCCTGAGCTTTCCCAAGGGGGAAGGTGAACACGATTTCTGGCTATAGCTAGAAAAATTTCCCCCTTAAGTGGCAGCGTCTGTATTTCCCTTAAAGGGCAGCTTCTGAACCCCCAAGTGGCCCTGAGGGAAAGGGTCACAGCCCAACTTCCCTGGGTCACCTAGAGGTCTGGACCAGGAAGGGATCGGTCCCTAAATAGCCAAGCAGTCAGGACAGTCTTGTTTCTCTTTTTCCTTTCTTTAACTTAGGGAAGTTCACACAGAGTAACTCTCTTCCTGTTTGAAGTTTGACTACTGTTGTGTCCTGTCTTGTTACGCACAGCAACCAAGACACAGAGTATTTGTTTTTCTCATCCCAGAAACCCCAGCGCTGGATGACCACTCACCTGGTTTCTGTCCCAAGTTTTCCTTTTTTTTCCCAAAGCTTCATAGAAAGGGATCTTTTTGCTTTTACAATTAGGTTTTCTGCTTATGGAGTAGTTTCTTAAAAGTCTGCATGCTTCTCCTACAAAGGGTAAAAAATGGTTGCATGTAAGAGTCAAATGTGCAGTCAATCCCCACCTCTGCAGAAGCCATATTTTTACATAATGTCCTTAGAATCTTTTTTCTCTGCATATGTACATGTTCTTTTAACCAGCTTTCCAACTAAACTATAACCTTGTTTTTAAAAAAAGTAACCTACCCTCTTATTCCATTTCCCATGTCTTTAAAGATTCTTTAAGAACGCCACTTTTAGCAATCGCCTATGAGCTTGTTTAATGCCTATGTTACAGGGTCTTCTTACCTATGACGAGCCTGGGCAGAGTAGGGCAGACCAACCAGATCAGGAACCCCTTTCCAGAACCCTACCCCTAGCCCAGACACACAGAGGCACCCCCTGACACGAGGGGCTGGATGGACACGGCCTCGGGAGGGCCCTCTGCCGGGCTGGGGCGTAGGCGGCTTGAGCCCCGCACTGGCCTCCGTTCAGGAGGGTGCAGACAGCACGTATTCCCAGACACATGCCCCTCACCTTTGTTGGAGCCAAGGCCGAGACGTGGTGGGTTAGCGGCAAGAGCCGCGCACAAGGCGGGAGCCCAGGGTTCGAGTTCCAAGCAGGCCGTGGTAAGAGGTGGGGCTTTGGGGAAGGCGTTGTTCCGTACTAGGCCTCGTGTTCCCATCTGTAAAATGAAGCAGTAGGAACAGATGTCCTCTCTACTGGCATTTGGATCTGTGAGCCTTTGATTCTTTCTGCTGCAGGTGACCAACCACATGACCCGAGACAGGGACAGTGGGAGGCTCAAACCTGCCCTGGGCCGCTCCTGGAGCTTTGTGCCCAGCACCCGAATTGCCCTGGCCATCGGTGAAGGGGCAGGTGCGCCAGGCAGTCAGCGCACAGTGTGTCTGACCAAATCTCCCCGTCTGGTGAGTGGGGCCCAGGGGAAAATGAAACTAATAATAATAATACTGATAAATGAAAATAAAACTAAGCCCTGGCCAGGTAGTTTAGTTGGTTAGAGTAGCATCCTGATAGGCCAAGGTTGTGGGTTCTAGCCCCGGTCAGGGCACATGCAAGAAGCAACAAACCAATGTTTCTCTTTCTCCCTTTCTCCCTCTATCTTATTCTTTATCCCTAAAAATCAGTAAATTAAAATTATAATAATAAAACTAAAAAAAGTAATCCAGGCCCTTGAGGGTGGTTTCTACACCCATAGCTGTCTTATAGAGAAATTCTTAGATGCTGAGCCCTTGCAACCAAAGAGACTACCCACTTGGGTCACTAAACTCAAAACCTTACCCTTCTCTCCTGCCTTCCTCCAGCCAACAGGTTGCCAGGAGACGGTAGACCTTGGGACGTGGGGGACTCTGGAGCAGAGCCCAGCATTACAGGGAGATCAACCGTGATGATGCTGTTGACTGGGAAGGAGAGAGACGTCCAGGCCCCAGCTCTCCTGTGCAGGAGCACCTTCTGTCCACGGCACTTGGGCCTGCAGGGGGAGCTCTTGGGCTGGGCAGAAGAGGCATCTCAGTTTCTTCGGCTTTTCTGCCTGTGGAAACATAAAGAGCTTCTGGCGAGAGAGGATGCGGTGGTGGGAGGACCCAGAAATTCACGCTGGAGCCAAGTTTTCTTCCCTTGTTTCTACCACGTATGCTTTTAGTGGGAGCCGAGTTCACCCTGGCTTGGGGCATCCCTGAAGCAGCACACTAGTGACCGGATAGACACCCTGTGCGTCACCGCCGTATCTGCCCCCCATCCTAACATGGGGACTGAACCTTGAAGCTGTCTGCTTTGCGCTCTTTTTTTTTTTTTTTTTTGCCTGTGTAAAATGGGGCTCTCTTCTCCTTGGCTCTGTCTTTGAGTTACTGAACTGAACTAACCTTGTAAATGTAAAACTCTTCTTCCATCTATGTCCTGCTCTTAAAAATAATGAAAAGGAAACTCCCTGAGCCCTAGATCCACCTAATTTACCCCAGAAGGTTGTTTCTCAGTTTCCCCCATTGAGGCCCCAAAGAATGGTTATTTCGCTTCCACTCTTGCTGATTTGGTTTCACACACCTGCATGTATCACCAGGGCTAGGTGAGGCAGGGCGCTCCCTGCGTCCCTGGGACATAATCTAAGGAAGGGAGCATGTGACCTGCTCCTGGTGAATCCAGCCACTTGTTTAATATGCATGGTGCCCTGTGGGACCTCCACGGTACAGAGTAACCAGAGGTGCTGAACCATGGCCTTGCCCGTAAACAGACAGAGGAGAATTTGCTCAGTAAATAGAGCCAGCTGGGGAAATTGATGCTGGCATAAATAATACATGGCAAATCTAGTCTTCATGCAGAAATTCATTGCCTGTGGCTCTGAGATGCAATGTAATTACCCTTTTCTTCCTGCCAGCTGTACCACAGCCTAGTGCCCTAGTGTACAAAACAGCCCCCCTGTCTGGTACCAGCACTGTGGCCATCCGTCTGAGAGCTGTAACCCTGGCTGGGAGGAGAGGAGGACACCAGGGAAGGGAAAATAAAAGGCAGAGGAGAGAAATGATCAGGTTTACTGAACACATTTTTTTAAAGGAAGGTTGCCTGTCTCGGAGAGCCTGTTGTGCAATTAATTAGTTGTGTGTTGGCTTGCAGGAAAGGGGGAGTCAGAATTATAGATGGATGGAGTGACATTTAAAGATGATAAACGCAGCAGGGATAGAAGAAGCATGGCGCACTGGCTCGGGGGGGTCTGCCTGAATGGGGCAGGATCGGAGAGCCTAGCAGCGGGGACCCCGGCGCTGCCACGCTCACAGAATACCCCGGGAGAAAATAACCTTCGGTGTCATTACACTGAGCAGTTGGCACACCTCTGCAACCATGGTGGCAAACTATACGTTAAGCTACGAAGGGCAAATCCTGCCCCCTCTTACCACGTGGCATCCTGAGCCCAGGAAGACGCCACCCACCAGTCAAGCATTCTTTTTTGTGGAGCTTGAAGTCTTTTGCGATTTTTCTCCACACATGGCACTCCGATCCGTTGGGCTTGGCGTTCAGCATGGAGCTGGTTGCAGTCTCTGGCCTGGGGCGATCTGCCGCACTTCCAGGTGTTCAGTTTCTGACTGGCGGCCCTGGAACAGTGCGGTCTGAGAGGCCTGTAAAAATCACCTGGCCTATCCTGTCCTATGCAGAGGAGGGAACTGAAGCAAGGCCCTGGCCGGGGAGCTCAGGTGGTTAGAGCCTCGTCTGGATAACGCCAAGGTTGCGGGTTCCATCCTGGATCAGGGCACACGCAAGAAACAACCAATGAATGCACAAGTGAGTGGAACAATGCATTGATGTTTCTCTCTCTGCCCCTTCCTCTCTCTCTCCAAAAAATCAATTAGAAAAGAACAGCAGCTCAGACCCAGGGAGGAGTAATGGCAGTCCCAGCGGTAGAACCAGGCTGGAACCCAGAACTCCTTTTTCCTAGACTAGGACCCCCACTGTCCCCACACTGTCCCCACAATCTTGCCATTCTGTTCCCACTGGGGCAGTCACTCCAGCTGAAGGTGCCACGGCCCTCATCCAAGGGGCCTCTCCAGCCATGTGAGGGCCCCCCAGTGACGTTCCTGCAGGGCCTGGCCCCTCACACTTGCCTCCTCCTGGGGCCTTGCTCTCAGACCAGCCGCTCTATCGCCTTGTGCACTGCCACCGCATGCTGCTCTGGTCACGCCACCCTGGACAGTTCCCCAGACCGGCTCCTCTACCCAAGTGTCCTTTACTCCCTTAGGTGCTGCCTCTGCACGCCCCCACTGTCCCCTGTGGCTGGCACACATGTCCTGACATCCTCCCTTTCTTATGCCTCAGCAGTGGTCCAGATGACCTAGGGTTGGGAATCAAGACCCAGGTTCAAAACCCTTCTGGGCCCTTGATGGCTGAGCCACTTACGGTGATGCCTCTGTCTCAGTGGTTAAAATCTATGTTGCAGGGAAATTGCATTTTCCTTATTGGTAAAATATACGTCTCAGGGAAATTAAACAGCTGACTGATGTAAAGCGCTTGTCACAGACACATAGTAGGTGCTTGGTCACCATTAATCCTTCTGGCTCTTGCCAGGACAAATATCAGGGCACTAGGACTGACTGATAAGCCTTGCTGCTGCTAATAAAAAAAAAAATGATTGATTTTTTTTCACTACTGCTTGGGGAAAGGCATGTGCTTCATAAATATGTATTGGAAAGTACTTAGCAAATGAGTAGAAATAATAAAAATATGTCAAAGAAAACAGCTCCTATAAATATGTCACTTGGTAGACAAATTAGTGTTTTATTACTACTAAATACTATTGCTTGCAGAAAAGGGTTTCCGATTACTAGCACAATGGGTACATTATTGACTGCCTCCGTGCAAGGGCACAATAAAGATGAAAAATAGCGATGGGGATAATGCTAAAGGTGGAGACAGGAGCACTGCGGGTGAACGCGGCTGTGAGATCGCCTTGCTTCGGTGATGTGCACATTATTTAGCAGCGTTCCAATGTTCTGGCTGTGATACGGGCCAGAGGGCCCAAGAAAAATGATTTCCACAGGATGTTGTGAATTCAGACTCCAGTTACGGGGTTCAACAGTAGATTAAGCATGCCCCCTGTAAGAGATGAGCACTCACCTCGTAACCTTAAATTTACAAAAAAACACCTCTCTTGGTGCCCGCCTCATCCTTGTCTTGGACCTATTAACTTTCTGTAACTAAAATTAACCCAGAGAGGCTGGGTGGAGGATGCTGTGTCTTGATGGCAGATCACAAATCTATTTCAGAAATGAGAGAGGATGCACAAGGTCCAGGCATCTCAAGAGACAGGGAAAAAGTAGACAATGAATGCATTCATGTGGGAAAATAAAGCCCTGGAGAGAACCAGAGAGGGCAGGGAACTGCATCAAGGAAAGTTACCAAAATAGCCAGGTAGGAAAAAGACAGGTACATTTATTTCAGGTGTAGAAGGCCAGTCATTCCATGAGTTCCCAGTAGTGGAAAGATCCAGTTTCAAATTCCACTTGGTCTTTTTCTGTGTGGCTTTGGGTACATGCTTAATCTGCAGATCTTCATGGGTATGATCCTACCCAGTTTGCTGGGTTGTTGGGAAGATTGGGACTGATACTTGTAAAGTGACAGGCCGCACATAAAAATATTTTTACTTCACTTTTCCTTGTGATAGTCCTTATTTTAAAATGCAAAACAAAACAAATTGCTCAGAAGAACTCTGAGAGGTCTCCATAGGAACCTAAAGCATAAGAAAATTAAGTGTCAATAGACACCAGTCAAGAGGATTAGAATTTATATTATTTTCATGACTAGGCATTTTCTTAGCCCACGCTGGCTAATGATTCCCCATGCAGCCCTGGTGTTTTATAGTTTACTAAACCTTCTAGTGCGTTAGCTCATTCAAATCCTCATACCAACCTGCATTTCAGGGATGAGGAAACGAGTTCGGAAAGGTTAAGTGCGCCGCTGAAAGGTACACAGCAGATGAACGGGAAGGATGGGCTCCTGGGCTCCCAGCTGTTTTCATTCTTCCCCAGCCTTCCTCTGCCACACGCGGCCCAGGGTGGCTGTGAATGCGGCCTAACATGAAATTGTAAACTTACTTAAAATGTTACGAGGTTTTTTTTGTAATTACATGTTGCAGTGTATTCAATGTGTGGCCCAAGACAACTCTTCTTCCGGGGTGGCCCAGAGGCACCAAAAGGTTGTACCGCCCCTGGCAGTATGCTCAGCTTCCTAATGTGAAACTAGTCCTGGGGGTTTAGACTGAGAAATGCTGGATGGGGGAGGTGCTCTAGAGTAACTGGGCTTTGTTATTGACAAGAACAAAAATTCTGAAATGTTTTAAATTGCAGTGGGCTGGAGAGGAGGACAGACAGAGCAGCTAGCCTGTTAATAGCTGGGGGCCAGGTGACAGACTGCTCACATTCCTGAATGTAGGTTGCAGCTTTGAATCAACATCCAGGCGGCTACTAGCTCACTACTAGATGAGCCATCGGATCTTGCACGTGCATGAACTTTCAGGACTATTTCCTGTAACCAGTGAAAAGTAGTAAATAGTAACTGCGCCCATTGCTTCACCTTATCCCACCCCCCTTATCTGTAGCCAATGGAAATTCTTTCCAAACACCTCAATTTTTCTTCCTTCTACGTTTTATACAGAAAAGAGCCCCATCAACTTCAGGACCGGGGAACTTCGCCTTTTCCACCCAGCGCTGCTGCGGATGGTCTAGATTTCATGCCCTAGGACCTGGTACTTTATGGCCCAGTAAACCCTTTCTTTTGAAAAGGCGTTAACTATAGAAGTTTAGTTTTTGGTTTAACAATGTCCTACAGGTCTGGCTAATAATACCGCCCACTATGGGACATTGAATAGGCTAGTGAGCTCTGATGGGCCTCAGTTTCCTCCACAGTAATTTGGAAACCCTCACCTGTGTGTGGCCTTGTGAAGGACGAGGAGATAGGAAGGTGACGCAGCTTTCAAACTTTTTATTATGAAGCGAGTTCAGCGATGTTAAGGGACACGCCCAAGGTCACCCAGCTGGACCATGGCCTAGCTGAGACTCGGACCTGGACCCTTCACCTCCTCGCGGGGGGTTCGGTGACCAAGGTTAGGAGGAGAGCGGACCCCCTGATGCCCGCAAGCCACACCTGGCCGCGGAGGTTCAGGCTCAGCCGGCCCCACCTCCGGCGGCCTCGGCTCCGCCAGGGGGCGCGAGCGCAGGCCGCGCTGGAGCCCGCCGCCGCCTCGCCCCTCTCTATGGTGGCTCGGGCGCGGCGGGAGCGGAGGCGCGTTCCCGAGAGGGGGCGGGCCCCTCTGGGGGCGGGGCCACGCGGGGGGCGGGAGCGACCGGGCCGGCCGGCTGGGGATGGATAGGGGGGGCCCACTTCCTGGGGCAGGCGGTGAGGATGTCGCGTCCGGCCCCCGGTACCCCTCAGCCCTGGAGACGCGGGCGCGGCGGAGCCTGGAGCCCCCCTGCCTGAGGCGTCCGCAGCCTGAATCCGGCCCCTCTCCTCCCCTCCCAGGTGCGGGCCGGACAGGCGGCCGCGGCAGGTGAGGAGGCGGCGGCGGCGCCGGCCCGCGGGGCGCCTGGCCAGTGTTGGGGTCCAGGGGGAGGCCAGGGCGGGGGCGCTGCTCGGCCTCGGGTCTCGCCAGGCTGTGTGGTTTGGGGGCGCCTCCTCGGTGCCGGGCGCGGCCTGTGTCTCTCCCTGCTCTACGCGGGATGAGGAGCCCCGGCGTCGCTGGAAGTCTCCTTCAGTGTAACCTGCACCTGTCCCATCAGAAGCGCCCCGCGAAGAACGCACTCCCCCTGTGGGCGCAATAACTGGGGCCGTGTAGCCTCAAACAGCGCCAAACGCCCTACGGACCGGCATTCAGCTTGTGCGGGAAGGATCCCCTTTACCTAGAGTAAACTGACCCAGGTGCGCGGCGGCGCGCCGCCCCCTTTAGAAGGGACGGGGGCCTGGCCCGCTGAGGGCTTCCTGGAAGAAGAGGAAGGCAGCCGGGGTCGGAGGCTTGATGGAGGCGTTTGGGAGTGTGGCTCTGTCCTCAGGGTCCCCGGTCCCCGCTTTTGGGAGTTGCCGTGTGTTCGTTTGAGACGGTGATGTGCGTGTGAGGTCGCCAGTGGCTGAGACGGAGGGGGAAGAAAAGAGGCCGCTCTCCGCTGGCCGGAGACATCTGACCGGGCGTGGGGAGGCCGGCTAGGCAGAGCAGGAGCCGGAGCCGCGCAGGCGTCCGGCCGCTCAGAGCTGGGTTTCGGGCTGGCGGGGGATGAAAACGGCACCTTCTCTCCTTTTCGTTGGTCCGCCTGCCGTTGGTTGGAGGGAGGAAGCCCTGCTTGTGTAAGCCAGGAGGAGGTACCGCTCCTCCCGGTCTGTCCCAGGGAAGGAGTCGTGTTAGTTTGGAAACAGGGCTTCACCCACAACTGTCACTTTGCACCTGGCAAAAGGCCAGTGACGAAATGAACAAACATCCCCGGGGCATGTGGCCTTCTAAGAAAGCAGTCAGCACTGTGCTCATCCATTTTACAGGTGGTTTGGGGGACAGGGAAGACTTCGGTCGCCCCTTGGGCTCCTACGTCTGCTAGGAGGAGCCTTGTGGTTTTCCTAGGGACAGTTCCAGTTACTGAAATGTGGTCAAGGCGGTCCATTTATTGAACCATTTTTCTAGGAACAGAAGTAGGCAGGAGACACGGTGCTGGGCTGAGTTTGTATGCAGAGCCCTAGGGTATGGAGCTGGCAGTAACACTCTTCTGTTCAGGGCATTTCGGGTTGGGCAACTTAACTCTTTTTTTTCCTGATTGTATTCTCTTTCACGTTCAAGGAAATCGGTAATGGTGTGCGTTTGTGAAATTTCCTAATCAGGACTTCTGAGCACAATTCAAAAATTACAGTTTATTTAGAGGTGTTAAACTGTTTGAAAATTGTGTATAACAGTGGCAGATTGATGTGGCAGGTTTAACTAATAACTTGATTGTGCTTGAAGAAAATTCTCATGTGATCTGGGACACCCCCTTGTTCGTGTCTGTATCTAATTATGAAGACCAGCTCACTGGAAACTTTCATCCTGATCAGGTAGACAGCTGTTATCCTGACTGTTTATGCTGGGTCAGTGGTCGTAAATTTTCTAAGTCGGCTTAATTGAACCAGTTGCTGAAATAAAAACACACAAAATGAGAGAGCCCTTCTCAGAATGTTTAAAATTGTGCTCACATTTTCCCACCGCCCAAGCCAGTTAGCATAACTCTGCTCTGCACTGTCAAATAGGAATACTTCCTTAAGGGTTTTTAAAATAGCAGTGGAAAAGGCGTTTTCTGTTACCAGCATTGAAGAAGACCAAACAGCAACCATAACAATAAAAGACAACTTTCCCCCTAATTTCGTATTCTTTGTGATGTTTAACACAGCCACACCCATCTGTACCAGAGCTGTGCCTAGGACTGTCTGAAAGCACCTGCAAAACCCAAAGTGTGTTAGAGGGACTAATTCCAACTTGATTTTTTTTTTTATCCACAGTAGTGTCTAATAATACTGCTATTGTTTTAAGGGTACATTAGGGACATTAGAATATCAAACTTGCACTAGCCACTGTATGTTTTGGGAAGAAAGGTTAACCTCTGCACCCTGGAATTGCAAAACCCCTGCAATACAGAGCTAAGATATAATTTAGAGTTTAAATGAAAACACATAGTTTAAATTGCTGTTGAAGTCTCAAGGGATGAGCTGCTTCACCATCTTTATTATTGTTTGGAATGGTGACAGATTATCATTTTTGTTTGGTTACTGGTTATTGGTAGTAGTTACTTGTGTTTATGTAAGAAAGATCTTATCAGTTGGAAGGACAATATTTTTATATCCAAACACATAGACACCCGTTTCTTCAGTAGGGAAATGGTCTGGTCACTTTCTTGGTTTGACTTTGTTATTCATGGAGTTTTAAAATCCTAAAACCTGTTGGGCTCTTAATAGGGTATCCTGTTACCGTCGATCTCACGTGAAAGCCACTGCAGTTACATGGGAGCCCTCGGCCTCGTGTTCAGAGACCTCGGCTCTCCCCATTCCAGGTTTTCCCAGCTGCCGTGGCCGGGAGAGTGGTTTTTACCTAATCCCGTAATGCCGTTCTTAGTTGAAACTCTTTGTCCTCCTTCCTGGTAGTCAGGACTGTCTTGAAGTTTCTCGGCTTTCTCTTGTACAGGTTGAATGGGCCCCTTTTTGATACCTTTGGGCCTGTTAATGTTCTGAATTGGAGCTAAGCAGTTGGTTAAGAGTGAGTCCTACTGTATGTTTTTAAACATTTTCCTTTTTCAAAGGAAGCATAAAATCTATATTTCCCCCGGGGGGGAAAACTAGCTCTTTGCATCTCATAGAAAAACAAAAGCTTGTTTTTCCAACTTTCTGCCAATATAAAATCTTAACTTTTCCTTTCTTTCTGGTTTTGTCAGTATAGTGATGAAGTGCAGGCATTGGGAGAGCCTGAAGTCTCCTGAATCCTCAGAAGAAGGTTGCATTGTATTCAGTGCAGCTTCGGCCTTTATTAGCCCTGTCTTATTGCGAGGAATTCCCCAAAGTCAGTGTTCCTTGAAAGATTCAGTACCCAGCAGTTGGCAACTGAGTCACTGAGGGGTTCCTTTAAAAATACAGATTTTCTAGTCCCACCTCCTGGAGAGTTTGATTGAGTAGGTAAGTGATGACAATAATCTGCATTTGAAAAACCTCCCTGGTGTCGGTCCCTGAAGCTCCCCAGGTGATTCTGGTTGGTAGCAGGTTTGGGAGCCACTATTGTGACTATTGTATTGCTTTGAAATTCTTTATAAATTGGTAGTCCCTTTAAAAACATCATGTTATCCAGGATGTTTGATTTTTCTAGAATAGCCCATTTCCTCGTCATGACAGATAACAAGGAGCTTTTATAACTTTTATGCAAATTACTTTACTGAGAGCCCCCCTCCATTATCTATCTGGAGTCACAAGGGTGGGTGTGGGGGGCTGGTGAAAGTGGCTTGATTTTTGTCCTGAGTGGACCAATGAGTGATAATGTGGAAACAACTGGAAGTCCATCTAGTTATGATCTGTGTTGGGTAGGAGAGACGCCTGGGAATTCTCTGTAGGGTTTAAAAATAAAACCAACTTGCCAGATAGTTCATTTCTGCATAGCGGAAGCGCTTATTGAAAAGAATAAGATGTGAATCAGTCAATAAAATTTAGTCACAGGGACTTTGCTGAGTTCATAGAAGGAAAAAATTGCTGAAATACAGAACCATCTGAATTAAAACAGAACCGGAGGACTACATATGTTAGCAGATGAAACTTGGGAAAAGCCTAACAGTTCAGGAAATAGACACCTGCGGTTTGGAATTCTGGTTCTGCTGCCGCCGCTAGGCTGAGCTCCTTGGGACCTGTTACCTAAGCCCTGTGCGCTTCACCTTCTTCATCTGCAAGGGGAACATGATGCCTGCTAGGGTTATTGTGTGGATTAAAGAGAAAACTATGTTTTTTTTTGTACATTGTAGGGAACTCAGTGAATATTCTTTTCTCCCACTTTCTTCTAAGTTTTTTATTCTGTAGACTTAAGATGTCTTTCTAAATCCAGCCTTCTCTGTGTCTCTATAGGAATATCTACTCAGTCTGCTCTTTTTTTTTTTAATTTAAAAACTTTTTCAGTTAAAATTTACATTCACTATTATTTTGTATTAGTGTCAGGTGTACAGCATAGTGATGAGCCAGTCGTATACTTTACAAAGCGTCCCCCCCGCCCGATATTTCCAGGACCCGCCTGGCACCATACGTAATTACAGTATTATTGTCTCTATTATTCCCTATGCTGTACCTGACATCCCTGTGACTGTTTTGTAAGTATGATTTGTACTTCTTAATCCCTTCACCTCCTTCACCCAGCCCTCCAGCCCCCCTCCCTCTGGCAACGATCAGGCTGTTCTCTACGTGTGAGTCTGTTTCAATTTTGTTTATTTTGTTCTTTTGATTCCACGTGCAAGAGAAATCATACGGTATTTGTCTTTCAATCAGCTCTTTCAGAAGATGTGTGCAAGAGTGAGGACTAGAGTGAGGACGGAGAGAATGTGGGTAAGAAGAATGCGTCATACACTGAACATTTTCTTTAGAAGGTGTGGCGTGCAGGCTTCGATCTGGAGTTACGGTCTGCAGCAGCAGTGCCTTCATGACATCATCTGCATTCTCCCTCGTGTGTCTGCGTGTCACCAGGGAGCGCGGCGCAGGCCAGGAGGTTTTGAAGGTGGCCCTGTTAGGTGGCACCTGACATCCATTTCTTTCTCCCTCTTCCTTTCTCCCTTTTGGCCTCCTTGTTTCTCTTTCCCTCTCTCCTCCCTTTCCCTCTTTGAAATTGTCCTTTCAACGTGCCAGTCATCGCACAATTATCGAAGGCCCGGCCCCTGGAACTTGGAGGCTAAGAGGTTGCTTGTTGCTAACACCTGTCTCCCAGCTAAGTGAATGAGCCCTTTTGTAGGCTGGATGTCAAAAAAGCTGATTAGTACAATACTGGTTTGAAGGTCCTACTAATGATGCAGTGTATGTAAATTA